ACACACACACACACACACACACACACACACACACACACACACATTTGTTTTGAACATAAAAATTATAGTTGCTTTAATCGCTGCCTGAGTCATAGAAGATGCTATATCGAAAAAAACATGAAGAAAGGTCTATGTCAAGAAATAAATGAAAAGTGGAACTATTTCGCATGAGGCATAAAAACCATGTCGGAACACATACGAAGTACGGTTTATATCAAGAAAGTAAGAAAAACAGTTCAAGTCGCAGTTTGCATTATTCTAGAGCAACAAAAACAACAAAATCTGGTGTACTTGTTTTTTTAATATCGCATATTTATACAGGGCGTTTGGAAATTAGTGATAAGAAACAGGGGCAGAATGGGGGGTTAACAAGTTATTGACGCCTCATCGCGCTGGGCAGTTCTATTCTGTCGCGCGCTTGCATTTGGCGATGAGCTGGACGAATTTGGCTATTTTCATAAATTAATAACTCGTTAACCATTGCAACAATTGTAAAATGGACTTTGTAGAGGACTTTTCTTCTCAGTTTAGTCCATTCTGCCCCTGTGCAAAAGACTTATGCAAGACATGTGCAAAAGCTTATCACTAATTTCCAAACACTCTGTATATTATTTTCATTATAGGACGTTTAACTTGCTATTAACCTGGACCCATCCATTTTATTTTTCCTTCGTGCAGACAGATGGAGCAACAAAATTTGCTTTAGAGCACAAATTATTATAGTAATAAAGTAGTTCTAAATTTTTTACCATGTCCCAATTCGACTTGCGATGGTGAGGAGTCCAAGTTAATAGGGGTCTGACTTTTCATATTTAGATAACGAATTGTAGAGTCAGGATCACAAATCAACAAGGTCTTTATGTAACATAATAAAGTTTTACAATAGTACGTATTACAAAGACTAATAGTTCGCGTCTCTTTGCGGTTCACGATACAAGACTCTACGAAGTACTAATACTAACTGACTAACATCTGAACGTCTTCCGCGCTCAGATCCAATTCATGATATAAAGACAGGGTATGCTCATGCGCACATTCACGTCCACTGGCCAATCAGAATAACAAGTATACGTCATCGTTACACGATAAATTTGAATGTGTTATTTTAGGCATGCTTTCCTTTCAGGGTTGAATTGCACGTTAAATACATGTGTGGTTCAGAAAGTTACTTTACAAGTTACTTATAAGTTATTTTTTAAGGTTACTTTATATGCATTTATTATAAAAATTGAGTATAATACGTTATTTTTTATATTACATTTTACCATTTGCTTCAGTTTCATATAACTTTTTGTATTCAAATACATAAGTAACTTATAAAATAACTTTTCCAACTCTGATTAAATATGTATATACATATAGTATATATATATATATATATTTGTCCTGAAAGTTTTTGCCAATTGCTTTTATATAGATAGAGCGGACTAAACTAAGTCAAAAAGTCCTCTACCATTTTGCAATGCTCGCAATAATTAACGAGATACTGATCGTTAAAGATAGGCGAATAAGCACGTTCGTTCGGCCTACTAATGTCAAAGCATACGTCCATTGATGGCTCGGCACGCGATTGTGAGGAGTGGAAATAGCTTGGCAGGCGCGCGGCGGCGTGCACAGCGTGGGGCGCTTGATAGCCAGGCAGTTCCCACTCTCAGCGCGCCAAGCAGTTGCGATGGCGGATATTCGATACTTTAAAAATTAATATCTCGATTGCGAAAATTGGGAAATCCACGGTTTTTTTTACATTTATATGTATTTTAATAATTGTTATGGATATTTTTTAATTTGATAAATATTGAGAATTACATAATGTAGGTCGAAACATATAATTAGACGACAAGTTTTATCGGTTTAATTAAATAATATATTTTTATGCATGTCATATGCATATGCATAAAAAATATATTATTTAATTAAACCGATGAAACTTGTGTGGGTTAGCAACGAACTGCTTTAAAGAGAAAACTAAATTTTAGTTCTCGAAAAGTTCTCAACCATTTTCCAATTTTCGCAATCGAGATATTAATTTCTAAAACGCTGAATATGTGTCATCGCAATAGGGAGTTTGCATGAAAAAAATAATATATTTTTTTTTGTTTACTATGAAAATATGAATTATTATGAATTTATGTATAATAAAATTTGTAATTTTTAGTAATAGGTAGGTACTAAAAAACTAAAATAAAGTTTAATGATATTTGAAATTTGAGAAAACAATTTTGATTGGCTAACAAGTGCGTGACGCTATACTGCAATAAGTCGTCTGCAACCATTTGCTTTCGCTGGAAGGCTAAAGCGAAATCTTAAAAAAAAATTTTTTCTTAAAAATTTCTTTATAAATTAAAAATATTACAATAAAATGCCAAACCAACTCGATTCAGGATTTATTAAAATCTATTCAACAAATTTACCACAAATATTCATATTTATAGTTTGAGAGTATATTGTTAATTACGAATGACACAATATTCCAGAAGTTTGAGGAATAAAAGCAACTTTGTAAGTACATTTTTATTACTACAGTGGTATTTTTTTTCAATTTTATTTTAAGTATAGCGTGAATAAATATTATAATTAATATGTTTATCATAGATTATCAAGAGAAAATTACACTGATTCCGCTGTAGCGGAGTAGCGTCAAACGGGAAGGTTCTATTTGTATAGTATAAGCAAAAATTTGTCCTGAACACTGAGTTCAACAAAAAAATTATACTAATCTGTATTGTCGACGAAGAAAAAGAAATAGTTCAATGCTATGAATGTGGAGAATCAGAAGGTTAAAATATTTGAGAGCAATAGTTTAAAGAACAAGAACTAAACTTCTATGTATAAAATCATAAAAGTAATAATTTAATAAACAATCGTTTATATAACCTTTTAGAATAATCATTTGCGACTTTAAAAATATAAAGTAAAAATAAATTTAAAATAAAAATTTATATATATA